CCTGAGATCAACTGTGATTTTTGGTCCTGTAAATTCTTGCTGCCAGCTGAGGCCAGGCCACCACAGCAGGGCTGGGGCGGAGCCTTTCCCGTGCTACACCACGAGCCAGCTGCCTTTAGCAAATCTAACGTGGCATTGCAGAGATGTGAGTCATCATCACCAGCCTTGTTTTCACAGATATTCTCAGCGCAGATCCGCGCCGCAGTATTTTTGTTTGCCCCTGACTGTCACAATATGACACATCCAGCTCACCCCATGATAACGAGACCTGGCTTATTAGGAACAGTAAACAAAATCAACTCTTTGCAGCCCGACAGCCACGACTCACACTGCTCAGAAGGTGGTGTTGGGTTGACAGAAGCCCCGCAGAGCCTCTTCCTCAGGATCATCACGCTGCCTGGCCATCTTGGTGCCGCTGCTCCCAAGGGCCTGCGTCCTCACTGGGGATGTGGCGAGTGCAGGTGGTGGTGGTGGGGATATTAAGGATGATGAGACTCCCTAAAGGGAGAGCTGACTGGGATGCTCTGGGCACTTTTTGCCTTGCCTTGCCTTGCCTTGCCCTTAGACACTCTTCCCTGAAGGCAAATTGGGATGGATGGGCAGAGAAGGTCCTAAGGCCACTCCACCACTGGCTGCATTCAGAGCAGGCACAGAGGATGGCACATCGATAGCTTTCCAACGCGTGGCCCAGGGGCTGCTGCCTGAGTTCTGGCTCTCTGGCCTTGGCCAGGAGCATGGCGCCTGCAGCACGAGCCTTGCCCTTCAGAGGAGCTGCTTTGCCAAGACTGGAATTGGGCCAGACACCTTACTGGCACACAGCTAGGCAAGACAACACAAGCCCTTGTGCCCAGTCCTTCTTGGTCCATGAGGCTGTGGGGACAGTGCTGTCCCTTCCGAGCTGAGTGATAAAGGACACAGAGCCCACAGGGAAGGAGGAATGTCTGGGAGGTGTTAGTGGGCAGCCTGAAAGACAGGCCTGAATTCACTTGCCCTGCTTACCCGAGCTAGGAGTTGAGTCCATGTCCCACAACTCTATATCCTGAGGAACAGAAATAGGTGCTTTAAAAGCATTCATTATTCAGGAATGGCTTCTTTGTACTCTGCCCAGTTTGACACTTGGGTACAAGACATGAGACTGTTCCTGCCTGCCAAATAGTCTCTTCCAGGGGCTGACACAGGGCCAAACTATGAGGTCCTCAAAGGAAAGCCACCTCTTCCCCAGCAACATGCTGCCACACATGGTGTCCACATGCACATGAGACTGATTGCCCAGCCAGCCATGCTGGAGATGGGGACACTCGGTGAAATACGCCCAGCTTGCTACAATGAACTATAAACACACTCTGCTAAACAGAAATGGGCTTAGATTTATTCCTGTCCCAAGCAGGAAACTAGAAGGGATAATACAGAATTAAGCTGTGAAGTTAACCTTCAGCTATGTAAATTACAGGGAATGAAAAATGCAGTCAATGTGAAACAGTCTTATAAATGCACCTTAACTACAGGCACTATATTGTACAGTGTAATCTTGCAAGCTGGGGCAGTGGAAAACAGCAAGCAAGTTTCAGCCTCTGAGCTATCTGGGGTGAAAAATATTTTTCCAACCGCTTCTGCTGTCGCACACTATTCCACTTGATAGGGAATGTACAAAATGGGCTGACCAGCTAAACACACACTAGTCATAAGGTAGCTATGTTGACAAATTGAATCATATTTTGTGGGATTATACCCAAGGCAAAGAATTTGGAAGATTAGCGACTGAGCAATGTGAAAGCGCTGCCAAGCTCATGTTGCTGAGACTCGTACTGCTGGTTTGGGAGCGCTGCGCTGCAAGGCCACGTGCCAAGCCCCTCCTCTCTGTGCTTTGGAACCAATATTTGCACAAAGTGAAGTGAAAGCACGGGCACCGGCAGCTGGATAGCTGGGGTTTTATCCAGGTTGTTTTTGTAGGGCGCAAGGCCCAGAGCCAAAGGACAGCGACGACGTAGATTGTGGCTGTTGAGCTCAGTGGAGCCCTGTTGGCTTTAGACCAGGGGTGTGAGGTGCTGTGCCACCCGGACATCCCCAACACATGTGAAATAAAGAGATTTTAATCACTGATTACGTGTGCTATTCTTTATATACCTAAAAGTATTCATCGTTCTTTAGCATCCAGATCAGTGAATTACATTGTTTCCACAGTGACACATATATAAAGGCAGGGACTTTGGGTTACACACCATCAGTGACCCCAGATTCTGGAATCACTGCATTCACTACCAGTATCAGAGATGGGACACGAGCAACCCCTGTCTACTTCAATGCCCAGTAACAGGATTCTGGATGAACGTGCACCAAATGCCATCATTTTGAGTCACTACACATCAGCGTTCTGAGGAAGAAGCTCAGAGACATAGTAAAGAATTAAGTCATGAAGCTAACCATCAGATTAAATTACAGGGATTGAGAAATGCAACTGTTGTAAAACTGACCTGTAAAGACACTGGATGCGTTACGATATATAACCTCCTGCAGTATGGCTATTATTACGTTTCCCTCGTATTAAACTTTGCAAGAGGGCACGTGCTTCAGTCAAACACACAGAATAACAGCCTGCCTGGTCCTGGTGAGGACAGGGACTGCACTCCAGGGCTCAGGGCAGTCTCAGCTATATGTGGCATGAATGCATGCAGGTTTATTTGGAGGCTGGATGAGTCTCACAGTCACACTAACCCCATTGTTATGGACAGACACTTTTCCAGCATCTCAAAGCCTTTAATGCCAACATTTCATGAAGGATTAAAATTATTATCCTTGTAATATTCTGGTGAGAACAAGGAAGCAGTTATATCAGGAGGGACAGAGAAACTTGCTTAAAATAGCAAACAGAATTCCTGAGATTTCCCATGTTTTTCTGCAATGGGAGGAGGAAATGGCAGCAGGGATAACCATGCCTGGTAGAGGAATCTTGCAGCCCTAAGATGGACCCAGCTCCCTGCTCACATTCCCACGTGACAGGACCTCACACCTACACATGGTGGGGTCCCAAAGCAGGCAAGAAATGGTGCCATCGTTGCTCCCTATCCAGTACCTGCAAGGGGTGCAGGACAGCCATGTGAGCCTTATGTCCGCTGGGGGCAGGGAAGGGGGGCAGGCCATCCTTCCTCCTTCCCTCAATTCCTAGTTCACAGTACATTGTCTCGTGGCCTCTGAGCCCTTGCCTTCTACCGGCAAATCTGACAGCACACAAAAGCAGCAGGAGTATTACAGATGAGACCTGGCTCTGCAGGACTAAGCTGACAAAAACCCTGAGGAATGCAAACAAACTCCCTGCGCCCCCTCCAGCTCTCTACTGCAGGATTTGGCTAAACTATGAGCACTGGGAGGAAGGGAAAGCAATCACAGCAGCATTTCTCAGCTGCAGGCTCTGCGCAGTGCTGCCATGCCCTCTGCCGGGCCCCAGTCTGCCTGTCAGACCACCCTTCCCATGCATCCCTTGCACACTGCCTGTGCCCTCACCGCTCTCCTCGCACACCTGCCTGCTTCCTCACAGCTTGGCTGCCACATCCAGCTTGGTCTGAGGTGCCTGCCATCTCCACTAGCCAAAGCTCTGAAACAGAAAAGGAGCAGCAATTAAGAAGGGAGGAAGGTCGCTCAATTAAATCACAACACCCTGAAGGCACAGAAAGTCCGCGGGACCTCCTGTGACAAATGCATCCCATGAAAATGCCAGCTCTGCTCTGGGCTTTTGAATTGACCCAGTTTGTTCTGCAGCTTCCTTGCTCGCCTTACAGCAATACTGACCCCTGGACAACCACTGGGCATTTTGGGAAAAGATGTTAGATAATAAACAGGCAGCAGTGCACCAGCCCTTGGAGTGAAACTCTCTGTAACTAGCTGACGCCTTCCAAGACCAAGCACAGCCTCTGTGAACTAGAGGGGCAAGAGACCTGTTTCTGCACATATCATCTGGCAAAAGCTGGAAGTAAACCCAACGGCCCCATGAGTAGGCTGAGTATTAGGTAAGACTTGCATTAACCTGAAACTGGGTTGCTCTGAGGCACTGAGCAATGTTCCAACAAACTGAAGCCCTGCCCCACTCCCACTACAGGCTGAGCACACAAGGAACAGCCTGCAGAGCAGCCACTGCCTCCGCAGAGGTAACAGCCACCATGCTGTGTGTGGGACACAAGTTGGGTCTAAAAGCAAAAACCCACGTCAGGAGTTCGTTGGCCAGCTCCAGAGCTAGCCACAAAGCACAAACGTGACGTGGGTGATGTGAGTTTCCTGGCACACAGATAACCCAGCAGGACAGGCTGCCTGCACACACCCCAACACACCCACACGGAGCAGTACTGGGCCCAGGGTGCCTCAGCAGGGCAGGACTCAGTGAGCTGAGGGCTCGCTTGTCCCAAACACAGCTTTGGGATGGTGTGAGGGTCCAGGCGGGCCCAGCATCACCCCCAGACTGCTGCTTCCCGCCCACAGCGCTGTGAGGCGCTCCAGAGGCCGCGCTTCCCGCCCAAACTGAGGTAACGCCGCGGGGCAACGCCCCGTCCGGCCAACCCGGCGACGAGAAGACATAAGGAGCAGCACTAGGAGAAGCAGATAGGCGCTAACCGGGCGGGAGACACGCCAGAAAAAAAAAAAGGCATTGAGCCACGCACGATGCAGCACTTCTCCCAGTTGCCTCCCTCACGACGCCCGAAAGCAGCACTGCGCATGCGCATACCAATGGCGGCCTATCCACCCTGCGCATGCGCATCCCCATTGGCGGCCTCTCCACCATGCGCATGCGCATCCCCA